TATATATATATATATATATATATACATATACATACATACATATACACACATTTATACACATACAAATATATATACACACATATATAGTCAGGATTTTTCTTCGATGAACACAGAATGCACACCACACACAGAGCCAGTCTTGAAGCGTTATTGAAAGTAATGAGTTGTGGATGAAGGTAACCAGAGGCTGTACGGGACTAGAAGTGGAGGTGTAGACATGAGCATCAGCTGCAATAATCCACAGGGAACTGTGAGAGCTCCTAGAGCAGTGGTATCCAACCCTGGTCCTCAAGATCTACTGTCCTACAGATTTTAGATGCATCCCTATTTCAACACAGCTGAATCAAATGATTGATTACCTTTTCAAGCCATTCATTTGATTCAGCTGTGATTCAGCAGGGATGCATCTAAAATCTGTAGGACAGTAGATCTTAAGGACCAGGGTTGGAGACCACTGTCCTAGAGAGACAGAGGCTGCAGTAATCCGCAGGACAACAGAGGGAGTTCTTGGTGAAGCAGAGTCTGTAATAAATCCAGAGGACCCCAGAGGGTATCGCTGAGCTGCTCTAAAACCCAGGTGCAGACGAGAGTTCACAGGGCAGAAGGCAAAGGTCCAGCAGAGCAGCAACACAGAACCTGACTGATGAGGTGTTTGGTTGGTAGTGACTGAATACAACCCAGTGTGGAAGAGCTAACTGAGGGAGTTTTTGTAGAGAGGCTGGCAGGTGGAGTGAATATTGACTACTTGGTGCTTAACAGGTGTGATTTATTGCTGAGGGAGTGGAGTCTGAGCTGTGTGAGACAAGGAGGTGCTGGAAATAACAGGAGGTGATAGACAGGACAGGCCAAAACAGAACCATGACATCATCCCGGGCTCAAAATAAACTCAAAACAACCCAACCAGGGTGGGTGGAGGGAGGCTCAGGACGGTGGGATAGAGTTCAACAAAAAAACTACCCAGCCAGGGCAAACTAAAGGAGATAAGGAACACTGGAGATCCTGGGAAATTAAAAACGCCGAGAATCCCAGGAGACTGGAGAACGCTGGAGGGCTTAAGAGCGCCGGGAGGGCTCAGGAACTAAAGTGCGCTGGGAGGGCTCAGGAACTTAAGAGCGCTGGGAGGGCTCAGGAACTAAAGGGCGCTGGGAGGGCTCAGGAACTAAAGAGCGCTGGGAGGGCTCAGGAACTAAAGAGCGCTGGGAGGGCTCAGGAACTAAAGAGCGCTGGGAGGGCTCAGGAACTAAAGG